TGGCGGGTGCGAGGTCACGCAGCGGGTTGTGACCACATTATTTACAGCAGACGGAGTGAAAGAGGGGGCCCAGTGTGAGGACAAGCGCAGCCTGTGATGCCTGCTTTTCAGGCGCACACGCACATGCAGGGCGAGTGGGTCATGTATGTGTGTTTCCCAGCCGGAGTCTGAAAGCCTCTCCATTAATTTCCAGCAAAACCTTCAGAGAGCGTCCCACTCGTCCTGAAATCCACGGGCATCGCCCTGCGCGGTCCCGGGTGAAGGGTGCTTCCCGGAACCTCCCAGGGAGCCCGCAGGCCTGCCTTCCGAAAGCCGGATGCTCACTCGTTAACGTTGAACCGTATTTTGTTCGCTTAACGGCAGCGTTCCCTTTCAGGTGTCCCTGCTGCAGAATGAAAGTGTGGAGAAAAACAAGAGCATACAGAGCCTGCACAACCAGATATGCAGCTTCGAGATCGAGATCGAGAGACAAAAGGAAATGCTGCGAAATAACGAATCCAAAATACTGCACTTACAGGTAAGAGGCATCGCCTGGCCGGACGGAGGGTGCCGGGCGGACCCAGGACAGGGCTCCTCCCTCCTTTCCCAGGAGCAACACCATCCCTCTCTCTGCCTTTGACCCACCGTGTGTGCAGCAAGACTCACAGCCCGTGATTTAAAAATTAGCCCTTTTAATTTTGAGGATTTCGTGTTCATCGGTGGTTATGTGTAAAGTTTCATTTCCCATGGTGAAGTGAAGGCAAGCTCTCTTGTTCCAAATTTCCCAGTGATTCTCGGCTCCTCACCCAAGTCCCCTTGGGTCCAGAGCAGCCATGGGCAAACTATGGCCCGCGGGCTGGATTCGGCCCGTTTGAAATGAATAAAACTAAAAAAAAAAAAAGACCATACCCTTTTATGTAATGATGTTTACTTTGAATTTATATCAGTTCACACAAACACTCCATCCATGCTTTTGTTCCGGCCTCCGGTCCAGTTTAAGAACCCATTGTGGCCCTTGAGTCAAAAAGTTTGCCCACCCCTGGTCCAGAGCCAACAGCACTGGCCCTTCGCTGCCTGGGCAGAGGCAGGCGTGTGGCTGGGCCTGGTGAGAGGATGGTCCCCGCCTGCTGCCAGCTCGGTCTCCGAGGCCCTTGTCGGTGTATCGTCATGGTGGCTGCTGCCGGCACAGCGCTTGCTCGTGCTGTGCGTGCGTCATAGACACCCCGGGGCGCGGCCAGATGGCTCCTCCGGGCTCTGCTTGGGTGCTTCCCCGCCTCCGGGAATGCCTCTCCGCCTGCTTCAGCCCTGGAGGCTGGTCAGCCTGCCTTCAGGCGCAGCACAGGGATTCGTTAAGAGCTTCATTCGTCTGGACTTTGTGCATGTCCAGGGATGAGGAAAAACGCTGAAATGCTAGGTTGTGTTAAGAAAGGTACAGGTCGTTAGCGCTGAGTAGCCAAAAGGTACAGCGTCGTAAACCAACAGCACGCCTCCTGCAGGACGTCCCTGGTGGTGATTTTTGTGTTATTGTTGTTTTTTAATCTTCACCATATTTTTAGGAGGATGAAGAATATATTGGTTTTTTTTTTTTATAATCCTTTTTAGAACTATTTAACATTGCTTTAAAGAGACTTTGTTTTTTTTTTAATCCTCACCCGAGGATATTTTCCCATTGATTTTTAGGGAGAGTGGGGGGGGTGGGAAAAGAGAGATAGAAACATCGATGTGAGAGAAACACATTAATTGGTTGTCTCCCACATGTGCCCTGACCTGGGCTGGGGATCGAACCTGCAAGCCAGGTACATACCCTTGACCCGGGTATCTAACCCAAGACCCTCCTGTGCACAGGCCAATGCTCTAACCATTGATACACCTGACCAGGGCCCTCACCCGCCTGGGGCGCAGGATGAGCCATTTGTCGTGAACCTGCTCTGTTTGACTTGGGGCTCAGGGGCGCATGGAGAGGCTAAGGAAGTTACACCGGTTAAAAATACCAACAGTGCCCTGGCTGGTTTGGCTTGGTGGATAGAGCGTCGGTCTGCAGACTGAAGGGTCCCGGGTTCGATTCCAGTCAAGGGCATGTACCTTGGTTGCGGGCACATCCCCAGTGGGGGGTGTGCAGGAGGCAGCTGATCAATGTTTCTCTCTCATCGATGTTTCTGACTCTCTATCCCTCTCCTTTCCTCTCTGTAAAAAATCAATAGGATATATTTTAAAAAAAAAATACCAACAGCGTAGGAAACATGGAGAGGTAGTGGGTTCAAGTGAACCAAGACGTTGGAATCTGATGATGAGGTCATAGTCGCCCTCACCGGAAACCTCCGGATTCTCTCTGCATTCACTTCCTCTTTCGGTGAGAAAGTTGGAATTTAATGTCCTTTTCTGAAGAGCTTAATCATTCCACTGCGTGTGAGTTATATTTAAAGCTGCTGTGACTGAATAAACCCATGAGGGCTAAGGAAGGCCGAAGCCAGGCTGCGGGATGGTGAGGTGAAGCCACAGCGGCCGCCGCGCACTAATGTGGAGGGGCTCGCTGGTGTCCTCCGGAGAGAGGACCTGGGGACAGGCGATTTAAATGGGGCTCCAGCCGGCTTGACCTCGGCTCCCCGCAGGGTCACGTGGCATCCAGCCAGGAGCGGAGTGCAGCTGATCGCTGACCCTGCTGGGAGGTTCCAACGCGCGCTGGAGGAGAGAAAATCTGTCTGTCTCAGTAGACGCGAGTCTTCTGAGCCCCACGGGCTGCGCGCCAGATGTGTCTGTCAGCCAGGCGCCTCCTCTGCTGTCCTGCAGGCCCCTCTCCAGCCGAGCCCGGCGCGCACACACCTGCCGTTACTTCCTTCCTCGGCTCAGACAGCCCCCGCCCCGCCCCAGCTGCCCGGAGAAGTTTGTCTTAGATGCTGTGCTGTGGCCAGAAATACTTATATGACCGGCCACTCTGTCACCCGTGTGTCTACAGCGCGGAGAAATGGGTCTTCTCCCCCACTTTTTTCCTGGCTCTGGCTCCTCCTCAGACACCTCAGGTGTCAATGCCGCCTCCTCCAGGAAGCCTGGCGGACCCCACCCTCTCGCTGTCCCACAGCCCCATGCACCGGACCCACCCGGTGCTCTGACCCTCCAGTGGGCCCTGAAGTCCCGGACGCAGCGGCAGCGCCTCTGAGCAGAGGGTTCCCACGGACAGGGATGCAGACAGACGACTCAGGTGGAAGTGAAGAGTGTGTCAGCTTAATATCGGACGTTTTAAAGAACCTTTTCCGTCATTAGAAAGGCAGCCTGGCTATTCTGTGAGGCCAGGTCCCGCTGTCAGGAGGGTCTGGGAGGACCCAGGCTCTGGCAGTGGCGGGTCTGGGACAGGCGTGTGCGGTGACAGAGAGGCCCAGCTGCTGGCTCGGACGTGCCCGTGCGCGAGGAAGGGGCTGGTGCGCTGCAGGGTGCCCACGTGGTGTGTGTGCGGCCGCAGTTTATCTCGGCTCCCGAATGCGTTTTCCTGAAAGCCCCACGCCTGCGCCTGAGATCTGTTCTCCTGGGAACTGCAGCTGCCAGGTGGAGCCTGCTCCTCGGGAGTGAAGCCACCCTCGCGGGCTTTTCAGCGATCGCTCGGCCTGGCCCGGCCTCTGCTTCAGGCAGTGCTGCTCGGACCGATGACGGTCATTTGAAAGGGCGGTTTCCCTTGCTGCGTGCAGCCTCCTACAGAACTGGGTTGAGCCTTGTCTGTGTACCCAGATGCCCGTGAGCGTGCCCGCGTTCCAGAGCCGGGCCTTGCTGTCCGTACGGGAGCTCATTGTTCAGACACCACAGCTCTGTCCTTGAGGTGACCACACGCCCACAGGCCGCTGTCCCAGGCCCCTCCCTGGGGGTGGGGAGTGCAGGAGGCTCCACGAGACATGCGTGCGGGGCGTGTCTTGGGCCAGGCTCCTGGCTCCCTCGGCGTCACTCACGACCGCCGATCACTACAGGCCTCCTTTACAGTCCCTGGGAGCCCCGCCTGTCACCTCACAGGCGCCTCAGGTATGGGGCTCACTAGTGTGAAGAGGGCTGTGCCCCAAAAGCAGACTCGGGGGCCAAGGGAATGCCCACAGCCCCCGCCTTAGAGTAAAACAAGTGACGGGCATAGGAGGCGGAATCGTCTTTCCTTTTTAAACATGAGCCCATGCCAGGCTTTCTTGGAAAGAAGAGGAAGAGTAACACTGCTTTTGCCCCAAAAAAGTAAGCCATGTTCATTCCTGCGTGGTTAGTAACAGCCCCCAGAGGTGCTGAAACTCACGTGTTTAAAAATAGGCTTTCAAAAGGGGAAGTGAATTTGCCCCCCCCCCCCCAGTTTAATGGGGCGCCTTGCCCAGCCTCCAGGAGCTGTATGTCACAAATGCACATTCTTTTTAGAAGTGAAAACCCTTTAGGTCCCGGCTGGTCTGGGCAGCGGGCATGCCAGTCCTTACCTGGAGTGCAGGTCTCGTTCCTCCAGTCCCTGGAGAGATGTAAATGGTCTGTGTTTCTGGGAGGAAAGGTTTTCTGAATTATCTAAATTAAAATAGCAGAGCCCGGCCCTCGTGGCTCAGCGGTTGAGCATTGACCTATGGACTAGGAGGTCACAGTTCGGTTCCTAGTCAGGGCACAGGCCCGAGGGGTGGGCTTGATCCCCAGTGTGGGGTGTGCAGGAGGCAGCCAATAAATGATTCTCTCTCTTTCTCCCTTCCTCTCTAAAATCAATAAAAATATTTTTAAAGTTAAAATAGCGTAAAGCCAGGCCTCGCTGTCAATAGCACGTGTGGGCCAGCAGTGTGGTTTCTGTGGCCTGGAGGCCGTGGGATGTGGAGCAGGTAGCAGCGGCGGAGGGCATCCCCTCACCCCCCCACCCCACCCCCGCCAGGGCTCCGTTCCCTCAGCCCTGGGCCCAGGCAGCCAGGGAGGAGGCCCCCGCTGATGGCTCGAGTGCCTTTCGGGACAGGCCTTCCGACAAGGCCAGTGGTGTCCTGCAAGCCATCAACCTGAGACCCCCCCCAGGACAGAGGGACGCGGGCTGCCTGCCCTGCCATCGGCGGGTGAGACCCTGTGCTGAGCTCGGTTCCCTCTGGGAGCGTGGACCCTCATCCCTCGTGTCTCCTGAGATTCACGAGAGGCCTGTGTGCAGGGGCAGGTGCGGGGCTGCCCTGGCCCTGAGCTGGCCGCTCCGCTCCTACCCCGCCTCTCAGTGGTGGCGCGGCGTCTCCGGAGAGCGCTAACTGTGTTTGTCCTTTTGATGCCTTTGGTTTGGAAGCGAGTAATCGACAGCCAAGCAGAGAAACTGAAAGAGCTCGACAAGGAGATCCGCCCCTTCCGGCAGAACTGGGAGGAAGCAGACAGCATGAAGAGCAGCGTGGAGTCCCTGCAGAACCGGGTGACCGAGCTGGAGAGCGTGGACAAAAGCTCAGGGCAGGCAGCCCGCAACACAGGTGAGCGCGGGCGGCGGGCAGTGCATATCTGAGGGGCCCTAGTGTGGGTTGCGGCTCAAACTTGGGGGGTAGGCGGTCCCCTTGGCACCTGGGGCCGGACGTCTGTTACAGGTGCAGCGTGTGCCCCGGCGGCAGGCCTCCTGCTGAGGCATCTTTGGCTGAAAGAAACGGGTCCCACGGACTCGCCCCGTCCATGCGAGGCCAGTGGGGGGTGCAGGTGGAGGGCAGGGCCTGCCAGGCGGTGCTCTTGACGCCCACGTGTGTCAGCTGGCGGTTCTGGGCCTGTGGCTCGGGGCTGAGTGAATGTTCGGTGTTTGCGGGAAAAGCCTGGTGGTGAGAGGAACGCGGGGTTGGACTGAGCTGCACGAGGACGTGAGGTGGGAGAGGAGCCACTGGAACTCGGGGCACAGATGACCCCGAAGATGGGCTGGAAGGACAGGGGCGCCCTCCCTGCCCCCAGCGGCTCCCCGTGGTGGATGCTGCAGAGGTGCCCGGGGACCCCAGGCTGGTGATCTCAGCAGCTGTCACCTGGGTGTGTGGGCCCGCGTCAGGTCAGCTGCGTGTCGTTCGCCCTCCACCGCCAGGACCCTCGGTGGTTTCTGTGTTTAGTGCAGACACTGGTGAGGGTCGGCCTCTCCCTTTCTGACCCGCTGACACCCTCCCCTCTGTCCGCTCTGTCCGCCCGCCAGGCCTGCTGGAGTCCCAGCTGAGCCGGCACGACCAGATGCTGAGCGTCCATGACATCCGCCTGGCCGACATGGACCTGCGCTTCCAGGTGCTGGAGACCGCCAGCTACAACGGCGTGCTCATCTGGAAGATCCGCGACTACAAGCGGCGGAAGCAGGAGGCGGTGATGGGGAAGACGCTGTCCCTGTACAGCCAGCCCTTCTACACCGGCTACTTCGGCTACAAGATGTGCGCCCGGGTCTACCTGAACGGGGACGGCATGGGCAAGGGCACGCACCTGTCGCTCTTCTTCGTCATCATGCGCGGGGAGTACGACGCGCTGCTTCCCTGGCCCTTCAGGCAGAAGGTGACGCTCATGCTCATGGACCAGGGCTCCTCGCGGCGCCACTTGGGGGACGCGTTCAAGCCGGACCCCAACAGCAGCAGCTTCAAGAAGCCCAGCGGGGAGATGAACATCGCCTCCGGCTGCCCCGTGTTCGTGGCGCAGACGGTGCTGGAGAACGGCACGTACATCAAAGACGACACCATTTTTATTAAAGTCATAGTGGATACCTCGGACCTGCCTGACCCCTGACAGCCACGGGGGCGGGTTGAGCAGAAGGCAACTCCTCGGGGTGGGAATTGCTGACTCCACCCGGGCCCTCGCGCTCAGCACGGACCCCGTGGAGCAGGAAGTGCAGAAGGCGGCGCGGCCGGGCCGGCGGGAGGAGCCAGCGGGACGCTTTCCATAGACTAGCAACACTTCACTGAAGAATTCTTTATCCTGCGGCGAGGAACACTGCTGTCGGAGGAGGTTCATTTCCATTTTTAAAGGTCTCATCCATTAAGGCGGAAGACACACCGGCTCCGAAAAGAACCATGAGTTTTCTTCCTGAAACTTGAACACACAAAAGACACACCCACCACATGCACACACGCCTGGGCTAGCTGGACATGTCAGCATGTTACATAAAGAAGAGTTTATGAAATAATAATGCAGTTCTGATATATTCGTTCTAAAGCTCCAGAGTGCAATCTTGTTTCAAATACAGCATATTGTCTATTTTTAAGGCCTCACCTGGTCTCTGTTTTAATGATTTGTTTGTCAGAAGACCCTGAAGTCACCGCGGTCTTTTCTGGAAGTCTCTAAATTCAGAATCATTTTTTAATTTAAAGTTCTAAGATAATGGTTACTGCAGACATTTTATTTTAAAACGTTGATAGACTTATATTTCTTGGAAGAAAATGTAAACTATCCAACACTGGTTATCACTTGTGATAGGAAAGAGAATATTCAATCTGTGTTATTTCTCGTTAGAAATGTAAACCTTCAATATCTGTCGTAGTCAATGACACTACTTCAAATTATTACGAAAGGAAATTGCTCATGGATGCTGTGCATCATTTCAGATTTATAATTGTTTTCACCCTAAAATAGGGCATTAGTTGAACTTCGAAGTTCTGAACAAAGTCCTGCAGGCTTTAAATTGTGCCCACGAGTTCCGACGGTCTCGCTCGCCGACAGCGCCGACCCTGGCCAGCGCCGGGTGGGCGGGTGACGGGTGCTGCAGGTGGCCACGGCCGGTGTCCCTCCATTCTGTCATACTGCTGCATTCTGTTCCGGCCTCCGGAAGTGACATCTTTGCGTAGAGGTGGCGGCATACTGTACCTGTGCCTTACGCTGCACGCTGCTTCCCGACCCAAGCTCTGTGTGCTCTGATTCTAGGGCGTGACCGTGCGGCCAGCCTCCACGACCACTCGCTGTCTCACCGGCCCAGGCAGCTCTGCCCCTGCTGGGGGCAGCCAGCTCCATCTCGGCTTTGGGGGCCCCACTGCTCAGTTACCCCTGATTATCACAGACCCCAAATCTCTAGGCCCAAAGGTGAGCCACCCGGTCTGGGCACAGGCGTGGGCCTCGAGCATTCCAGATACCGCGACCACTGCCCTCGGGAGGGTGGCCTGGGGGCCCCTGGGCCTGGCCTGCGCCCGCCCCACCGGCATTTTCTCAACTCACTGTTTACCTTCTCTCAATGGTCCAACTGTGATTAGAAGCCGAGCCCTGCCTCCCCTCCGCTATGCAGCACGCTCCACGGGTGCTAACTGACGGGTGCTACACGTGACGGGTGCTTCCCAGGCCCAACCAGCGCGACCCACCGCCTGCGGCCGCTTATCCGAAAGCCACCCCCGCGACCAGCCGGCGCTCAGACTGCCTGCCCGGCTCCACGGCTGCGGGCGGCTGGGCTGGGGCCGGGCCGCCGTGTCTCTGGTGCTGCTGTCCGCTGGGTGTGCCTTCGCCCCGTGCCTGCTGGAAGCGCCCTCCCCTCGCACATGCCGCGTCCGTAAGTGACCTCTTGGGTTCCGAGCACCTGCCAGGCCCCAGTTCAAATGCTCAGTCTCGTCTTCTCCCACTCCCAGGACGCTGTGAGGTGAGGCAGTCAGTTCGGGGGGCGTCCCCACTCCCAGAGGAAGGACCTCCTGCCTGGCCTCAGGCGGCTCCAGGCCAGGGTTACCAGCGGGACCTCCTGCGACTTCCACTTTACTAACAAATTGAGAATAAGCACCACTCGGTCCGGCCAGAAAGAAAAACAAAACCATCCCGTTCCCTCCTCCGGGGGGAGGCTGTGGGGTGGCTGCTGGGAAGCACCACTGCGGGGGAAGGGGAGGCGTGCCTGGGGGGCGGGGAGACCACGGCCCCCACCTCCAGGGAGCCCAGAGGACGTGGCGGGAGCGTCCCTCTGTGGCACTGGGGGTGGGGGCCTGTGGCCACTGCTGTGCCATCTCCCCTGCGTATGCTGGGGGCCGCCGCCTGGCTCTGCTCCTCGAGGCCCTTCCCCTTCCTGGCGACGAGAGGGCATCAGACACGCTGTGACAGGTGCACGTTCCCCTCGACCCGAGAGTGCAGGTTTCCCACGGACGGTCCGTACCTCAGAGAAGCCCGCGCTCTCGGCTTCCCTGCAGCCTCCGTCCCGCACAAGCCGCCGTGTGGGGCCTGGGCCGTGTCCCTGAGGGTCTGTCCGGCTGGAGCCCCTTCCTGGGCCTTTTTTAGGAGCAGGTTTTCCCATTTCCAGAGGCCACAGTGACAGCACAGCTGGGATGGAGGTTCTCAGACCTGTCGGAGGAGAGGGTAGTGCCAACCCCGGGCGCAGCTCGGTGTGCGTTCACTACCGAGGACCTGAGGGGCATCGTGGGGGCATCATAACGACTGCTGTCAGGGCCCCAGTGCCCAGCTCCGCGGCCTCCCACGTGGGAACAGCTGGAGCACGGGAAGCTCTTGGCCCCGCGGCTCCTTCCTGCCCCGTGACCTCAGGGCTGTGGCGGGAAAGCTGCCTCCCTGCGTTCCCCCCCGCCCCAGGCCCTTCTGCTGCCCCAGCCCCCGTCACAGCAGAGCGAACGCCCCAAGGCTTCCCTGAACCTGTGGCCCCCCTTGGGACCACAGGGAACACCTGCCTGTCTCGAGGGTCCTCAGCTGCCCGGGGTCGGGGCCCGTGTCCCATCAGCAGCAGTGCCCGCTCATTCTGGGCGGTGTCAGGGTCCCCCATGGCCGGCCCAGCAACCTGTAGCCGAGGGGCATCGTCGGCAGAAGGGTCTGGACAGACCCTTAAACAGCTGAGTCCCCAGGTGGGTCATTCCATGGTCCGGTCAGAGGATGTGGGGAGATAGGCAGGACCCCCCACGCCTCGCACCCCGGGGTCCAGGCCCACAGCCTCTCCAGCAACAAACGGAGTGAGGCCCGCGCTTTTCTGTGCCCGTCACAGACAATCCAGCCCCGGCATCTCTGCTGTCGCCCCAGGGCGGGCCGGGCGGGAGCTCCAGCCTTGCCCCAAAGCGCCCCTCTGTGCTGAGGGCTGGGCAGAGCTGACCTCTATGGGGCTGCAGAGGTGAGCGGGTCCCAGGGGCCCGTCTGCATATGTGAGCGCTGGTGACGGGGGTCTGCCACCCAAAGCCACTTCTCAGCCAGGACCACGGCTCTGTCTGCTGTTGGCCCATCTGGTAGTTGTGGTTTCTCCGAAGTGGAATGTGGCTGCCAGGTCCAGGCCCGGGGAGGCTGGTGGAGGTGCCAGGGTGGGCAGGTGACCTGGTCGCTCCTGTCTCTCCGGGCAGCGCTGGTTGTCACCTGGGAGCCCAGCCGGTTGGTGGGCAGGGGCGGGGGCGGGGGCAAGGCCCAGAGGCATCCTGGGAGCATCGCCGCTGCCCTGGGGGGCGCTGAGCTGTGCTTGCATTTCATTCTCCGCTGCCGCCGTGTCCATGTCGTGTGAACTCGCACAGGGACAAGGTGGGCGTCCGGGCTGCACCGCCCCTGCTGCCGCGGTCGGTGGTTTATAACTCAGTCCCCGTAGACAAGCAGGATGACCTTCAGCAGCAAGCGCGATGCCCCCCTTGGTAAACACAGCAGCGCACGATTCCCAAGGTTCCCCCGCGAGTTCTCTGTGGGCGCATCGCTGACCAAGGGAGCGTGCGAGCCCACGCGCACGGGCGGGAGGCGCTTTCAGTCACGTCCTTTCTCCGGTGGCTCACTCTTCAGTTCTTGCCCCAAACAAAGACCAAAGAAGGCCCATCTCTTATTTGACTGTATTTAATCTGCCTGTTTTACAAACCGCGTCCGGTGCCGCGCGCCGTGAGGGCGTCCTGACTGCACGTGAGTGTGACGACCAGTGGCTCGCGTCCGTGTGTTCCTGCTCTTCTAAGAAAACAACAACCAAGGACCGTGTGAGTTATTGCTCAGCAATAATCATATGAGTTCGTACCATGCCTGGTTTTCTCATAGCATTATCATGTTTTCTATTTTTGTTTACTGTATATTGTGTGTGGTTTTATTTGGTATTTATTTGTGTTTGGAGGTCTTGCAATGTCTTTGTGTTCCTGATGCTAATACTGAAGTTTGTACGAGTATAGAATGCAAACCTGAAATGCTAAACTGTCATTAGAGGCAAATAAACCTGACCAAGGACTCCGTTTCTCCATCGCCCTCTCTCGCAGGTGTGGGGAGTGG